CCATTCGACACTTCTATAATCTTAACTCAAATGTTTGTTTTTTCTCTCTCTCTTTCTCCATTCATTCAGTATTTGTCAGCATAAAGTGGTATGAAAATATTTTTTTCACTTTTTCTCAACTTCTAATTCTCCTCAAATTTTTAAATTCTTCATAAATTAAAAAAATGAAATCTTTAAAACGATTATATTTGTTTTTTATTATTCAAATAATAAAATACAGTTTGTTGTGTTACCTGTCTGGAAGATATGATGTATTGTGAAAATGATGTATGCGATCAGCATGATGACAATAATTATTGATTGCTTTAGTGTTATCACATTACCATAATTTGATTGGACTAAACCAAATGAATTGAATTTCAGATCAGCTGAAATTGAAGCTATAAAGGAAGCAATCAAACTTATTATCAATTACGATCACTAAACTATCTTTACTGTTCTTCAAATTTTGAAAAGGCATAGCCTTTCCAATTAACCGATCACTGATAATATCAAAAACTTTAAGAACCAATGAATCCTCACCGGAATTTATTCCATTTCGAATTTCCAATCATTTCATCATCGACAATTCAATCCTATCTACCATTATTACTACACTGAGAGAATTTCAATACAAGCACACTGAATATGGTATTTCGTCGATGTTCCGGAGGTTGATTTGTTTTTCGGTACATACTGACTGTGCAATTTTTTTTTCTTCCAAATTACTAAAAAGTTTTTAATTTCAAATTAAAAATTTCGACCAAATGATCAATTTTTTATTGATATTTTTTTTTCACACAATTTCTCATTCTTTTTATAGCGAATTTTGAATTAACATATTTTTGTTTCCAAAATAGGATATGATATGAAAGTTTTGAATAGATTAGCTTATTTTTCTTTTGATACAATTAACTTTAAATTATTCAGTGTAATAAATTTTTCATTTTTAACCATACACTTCCATCTGATACATCTTTCAGATGAATTTTTCCGTTTATTGTTTATGCATTATGCAGTATTTCTCAAAATTACGAAAGAATTCCTCCAAACTTTTCTTCCTAAAATGAAGCAATGATTATCATATCGCTGTTAGCGAAAAGTGATATATGATATCACTGTTTTTTTTTTGTTCAATTTCACTTCATTAATAAATTCCAGTATTTGCATCTTTTTCTGATATTTTTTTTTGCTTTTTAGCTTTTTTGATTATACTAAGGTATCAAATCTACAGTACGCAATATAGTTCACATATTTCGGATATTTGATGATTAAAAGTAACATTTTATATCCAGAAATCCTTTTGAATTCACTTTGAACTTCTTTTTGAAATTGGTGATTGTTAAACTTGCCACTTAACTTTTGTCCTTTTGTTTTTTCAATCTTCAATTTTTGTACTGCTTAATTCGTTTCCGCTCATTTGATCATAAAAAATTCAAATTTTAAATCCCAACACAGACCAATATTGAAACAAATGCTGTTCATTCATAAGAATGAATAATTTATGAATAATTTCCAAGATTATTTTTTCATCAATCGTAATTGAAACCCTTTTCTTTATTTTTCTAAAAGAGAGAAAGGATTTGTCACATTGGGAATGGCTTAATGATTTTGTCATAGATTTTGTTGCAATTTGTTTTTTTTTGCGAACATAATTGAAGATTTTACTAACTGCAATGATTCAACTAATAATAAAATTAATTTTAAAAATATTCAACAAAGCGGAAAATAGCCAATCTCATTTGTTCCTTTCTCTCTTCCCTACCATTTTTCGCATGAAATGTTACAATTATTTTCAGAAATTTTTGTAATTACTTGCTAATATTTAATTTTTCATTTCATTTCGTATCCAGTGCTTTGAATTTTATTTATTCTAACAAAATTTCAAAAATTAAAAAAAATTATCCATCATTTAAATTTACTATTGAAACGCATTCCGTAAGTTTTTAATTTCAATTTAATCATCCTATTCGATTTAATATCCTATCCAATCCTATGCATTGCACTTCATTTAATTTGAAATTCCTAATCTTTTTCCATTTTCATTTCCAATTCAGAAGATTAAGAAAACATCACAATATGATAGAAATTCTCAATGAATTATTGTCGAATTTTGATTTGAAATTTGAAATTTTCATATTTCTATTAATTTTAAACTAATAATTTAAAAAAATTATGGTTTCATGTTAATGCAAAGTTTATTATTAAAAACCATAAAATTTTGGAACAAAAAATTACACGGTGCCCAGATTTAAATCTAATTTTTATCTTTATGCTTTATATATGCTTTTTTTAATTATAAATGTGATTTAAAATTAAAATTATAAATGTATGCTTTTTTTTAAAATTATAAATGTGCCCAGATTTAAACTCAATTTTTATCTTTATCCCTTATATATGCTTTTTTTAAAATTATAACACCGTTTTTTCGATCGCGAAAAAATTTCATATGAATATGTATCAAATGGATTAAAATTTAATCCATAGTTCGGCATTTAAAATTTGATTCCATTATTTTGTTAAAATATATATATTAATTTCTAATTATTACAAGTCATAAATTTCAGAAGAATTTATATTTCAATTCATCTTTTGTTTTACTTCATTTTCAATTTACCATGTTTTTACTTTCAATATTTCCCTTTCTCGTCCAATATTCTTTTTGTATTTTATTCTCTTTAAAATATTCATCAAAATACACGTAAAGTAACATGCTTAAAATACAAATTTGAGTTATTATGAAAGGAGAGAGAGAGAGAGAGAGAGAGGGAGAGAGAGAGAGTAGAAGTAGAAATGGGAAGATTGGAATGAAGAAGCATTTTTCGTCAAAATCAAAATGAAGCGGCAACATCATAATTCATTTCCTTAGCGTTTACTTTATCCTACTTTAGCCATATCTTCTGCCTGTATCCCTAATGGCCAATAAATGTAACAAAATTTTTCTTTCAATTTATTTTTTTTCTTTCTCTTTCCCGTCCTCTTTATCTCTCTCTTCTCTCTTCTATTTCATTCATATAGTTTGTCTACATTCCGAGAATTTCGGGAAAACGCTAGATATTATGGGGGCTGTATTCAGTGAAAAGCAAAAGAAATATGCTAATGGGATGTATGGTTCTGGCATCTGAGAGTTGAAATTTATTGCTTCAATAGGCTATTCTCCCTCTCCCTCTCTCTCTTTTCATCTGAACATTCCTTAAAAATCACTTGACATAAATCAAGTCAACTAGAATAAATTTTTGGAGAATTGCTGCTCAAATAATAGTAATAATTCTTATCAATTACGCCATTTCATATATTATTATGATAATTATCAATTTTTCATTTGTTATAATTAATGGTATTACATTTTCAAATTATTGATAATTACCACCTCATCTATTTCAAATAATTTATTTAGATAAATAATTGCTGATTATTAATAAGAAAACATTTTAGTTTGGTCGTTTTATAATTTGAAATAATCTAAAACAACAACTTTCATAAAATATTTGTTTACTAATATTACAACCACACACAATTGTAAATGTGGTAATTTTTTGATTGATCTAAGAATTAAGTTTAATTTTAATGACACCCTTTTCTGGCAATATAGTATGATGAAGACAGAGCAAAAAAAAAAAAAATCAAATTGTCATATTCATTATTATGGTGCCGAGATTATTAAAACTGTTGTCATTATTATCTACTTGAAAAGAGGAAATAATTTGTGCAATTCAAAAAATTCGATTGCATTCAAAATTGCACGAGCATATTTGAAAAAGTAAAATGCAAATTGCTGCTCCTCTATTTTCTATAAAAACCTTTTTCCAGTGTTAAAATCAATTTGTCCAACGACATCATCCACTTCAATATAACTCTTTCCCTCTTCTCCCCTCTCCTCTCTTCTTTTTCTTCATTGACTTTTTCAATCGAAAAATAAAAATTCCCAATTGAAAAAATTACGGATTAAAATTCATTATTGTTCGTTCAATATTTTTTTCAAAATAATACATATCCTATAATTAATTTTAGTAACATTATTTGCCCCACGTATAGTGGACTTGAAACGTAGAGCTACTAAAAAGTTAATTAAATTGATATTGAAAATTGGGTATTCTATTAGAAATAAAATTTCAATCAAAAAAGGCCCACTCATTAATGAAATTATTGGAAATGAAATGAGCTTAATGAAATAGGCTTAAAGCACTGATACAACTGTCAGTCGTTTAGTCAGATAAAAAAGTTAAACTTTAAAAAAAAATGCCAATAAAGGATGAATGAAGTAAGGTCTCTTATTTCTGTGCTTTAAGCAGAATACAAACATACTGAGTGTACGACTGATGTGTATGTGTGTATGTGTGTGTGTATGTGCATGAGTATGTGTATGTATGTATGTGTGTGTGTGTGTGTGTGTGTG